GTTGTGGCATGATTCGGCATGATTCGGGATCGTTAAAACAGAACCGTCAGGTTGATTCGTGGCGTCGGAGTCTCGAGAATGGTGTTTAGCCACGTTTCAGGATCTTCAAACGGATATCTCCTAACGGCACTTCCGTCAGTGGAAGTGAACCCTTGTAAGGGCCTATGAAGAGGGAGCCTGCAAGGAGGGTTTGTTCATTCCAACGTCGTTAATGAGTCTTGGGTTTATACTGGTCCTCCTCCACCTCCTCCTGCTCTCCCCCCGCCCTCCTCCTCCCCCTCTTTCCCCTCCTCCTCCTCCTCCTCCTCCCTCCTCCTCCTCCCCCTCCTCCTCGTCCTCGTCCTCCTCCTCCTCGTCCTCCTCCTCCTCCTCCGCCTCCTCCTCCTCCTCCTCCTCCCCTCCTCCTTCTCCTCCTCCTCCTCCTCCTCCTCAGGAGGAGGACGCCTCCCCTCTCGGAAGGCCGCCCCCCCCCCCTCCCCCCACTCGGCCCGCCCCCTCGTACGCGGCGCAGGCCCGAGCCGTCTGGCGCCTCGTTTTTTGTTGTTGTTGCTGCTGCTGTTGTTGTTGTTGTTGCTGCTGTTGTTGTTGTTGTTGTTGTTGTCGTCGTCGTTGTTGTTGTTATTGTTGTTGTTGTCGTTATTGTCGTCGTTATTATTGTTATTGTTATTCTCGTTGTTGTTGTTGCTGTTGCTGCTGCTGTTGTTGTTGTGGTTGTTGTTGAAATTATGGTTGTTGTTGTTGTTGCTGTTGTTGTTGTTGTTGTTGTTGTTGTTGTTGTTGTTGTTGTTGTCGTTGTCGTTGTCGTTGTCGTTGTTGTCGTCGTCGTCGTTGTTGTTGTTGTTGTTGTTGTCGTTGTCGTTGTCGTTGTTGTTGTTGTTGTGGTTGTGGTTGTTGTTGTTGTTGTTGTTGTTGTTGTTGTTGTTGTTGTTGTTGTTGTGTTGTTGTATTGTTCATGTGTTTGTTCACGTTGCGTGGGTCCCCAGCGTTCTGCCGGTGGCTCGAAGATGGAATCGGGCCCGGGCTCGGGCCTGGACCCTCCTCCTCCTCCTCCTCCTCCTCCTCCTCCTCCTCCTTCTCCTTCTCCTCCTCCTCCTCCTGCTCCTCCTCCTCCTCCTCCTGCTCCTCCTCCTCCCCCGCCTCCTTCTCCTCCTCCCCCTCCGGCGGGGGTCGGGTTCGGGCTCGGGCCTGGGCTCGGGCCCGCTCGGGGATTGGGCTCTGGCCCAGGCTCTGGCCTGCACTCGGGCTCGAGAGCTCGGGCCTGGGCCGGGGCCCAGGCCCTGAGGGATGGGGTCCTAAGGATTGGAAGGTGATCGTTTTTCTTTTTTTTTTCGGCGTTTCGACGTCGGGCGGCAAGGGGGGGGGAAGGGAAGGTCTGGCTCTCCGGACCTCTGCTTGGTGCCACTGTTTGCAACAGTGCGTGCTATTGGGGGAGGGTCCCCACCTGCCCGAAACGGGCGCCCAGAACAGCCAAGATCCACTCCATGGGGGGGGGGAGAGGGGGGGTGCGAGGGCCCGCGCCGTTCGGCGAAACAGTGAAGAACAAGAACGATCACAGGGGACCCAGGGATGGATGTGCGTTGCTTGAGGCACCTCGTCCTCGGGACCCCACTCCTCGGGGGCCCCAACTTTGAACCACCGACTTGCGAGGGGGCGGGCTGTCACCGCGAGCCATCGCCCGATGGCCCCCGGGCCCCGCAGGAGGGCCCCAAAAGTCCGAGAGCGGAGAGCGGCCGAAGGCCTTTTCCGCCGTGCTCTTTCGCGCCGACGCCCGCCGGGGACCAGAGAACGACATGGACACGAACTTTCGGAGGTCCGCGCTGAGTTCTTGGGTCGGCGCCTGACCCCCCCCCTCCCTGGCGCGCGGAGCGCGCCACGGGCGGCGCCAAAGGGCGCCGCCGGGGAGCTCCTCCAGCGCCGATCCAGGAAGCCCGCGCGGACCTCCGCAGGTCCGTGTGCACGTCACGTCACTCTTTGCTCCCCCGATGGGCTTGGACTTCGAGGCGGACGCGCCAGGACTTCGGGGCGCGCTCTGGCCAGGACTTCGAGGCGGACTCGCCGCCGCCGCCGCCGTCGGCGCCGCCGCTGCTCGCGGGGGGTCCGCCCCGCGGCGCGCCATGCTCTCCAGCCGGACGCGTCCCAGCAGGTCAGGAGCCGCTCCAGGGCCGCGCCGTCGTCGCCGGCGGCCACCAGGGAGAAGGCGCGCGCCTCCGGAACGGGGCGGGCCCGCGGGGGGGGCTGCCAAAAGTATCCTGGCGAGGGGCCCAAGCATCTGCCATTGGGGGTGCCGCATCATGAGTACAGCTTTCGGTGGAGCTACCTATGGGGCCACGAAGCGTGTGAGGGCTGTGTGCCGAAATTGGGCGGAGCCGCCATGCGAACCCTGCCACTGGGGCCTTCGGTGGAGCTCCCCATGGAGTCACGAAACTTGTGATGGGGTGTGCCGAAATGGGGCGGGGCCGCCATACGAACCCTGCCACTGCGCCTGCGGTGGAGCTCCCCATGGGGCCACGAAACATGTGAGGGGTGTGCCGGAATGGGGCGGGGCCGCCATGCGAACCCTGCCACTGGGGCCTTCGGTGGAGCTCCCCATGGGGCCACGAAACGTGTGATGGGGTGTGCCGGAATGGGGCGGGACCGCCATGCGAACCCTGCCACTGCGCCTGCGGTGGAGCTCCCCATGGGGCCACGAAACATGCGAGGGGTGTGCCGGAATGGGGCGGAGCCGCCATGCGAACCCTGCCACTGGGGCCTGCGGTGGAGTTCCCTATGGGGCCACGAAGCGTGTAAGGGGTTTGTCGAAACACTGGGACCTTCGGTAGAACTCCCTATGGGGTGACGAAATGCTGCACTAGGCGTTAGGGAGGAGGGAGGAGCGGGAGAAGGGGGAGAAGGAGGAGAAGAGGAGAGGTGGGACGCGGGGCGCTGTCTTTTCAAGACGAGGACCCAAAACACACATAATGGTTTGGAACAACTTCTTGGCCTGAGATCCCAGTGTGGCATTTTTTCACAACGGGTGTTTTCACCTCGGTTCGGGCCCAGGGACCCTCACATATCGATCGGGCTAGCAAAACGACGCAGAAAGATGGCGTCTGAGACTCTGGTCGTGATGTGTTGGGATGCTGTATTTTTTTGCAACGCAATATCTCAGGGTAGAAGCCAGGCGGGTTTCTAAGAAGCTCCCAGGAGGATCAAGGAGGATGGGGTACGTTTGACGAAGACTTCGTCGCCATTTTCAATTCTTGGGCGATAGTTTCGGGCTCTGGGCCCGTCAAAAACGTGTCGGGCCACGATGGACTCCAGGAGGGGCCCAAAGACTGGGTTTGAGCGGATTTGGGTGGGGGGATCGAGGACCGAGGATCGAGATACCCACTGCGTTCCGAATAGAGCTCCAACAGGCCAAGATGGCCGAAGACGACCCTGAGACGCCCCTAAGATGGCCCAAGAGAGTCCCTAGAAGCCCCTCAGATAACAAACAACACAGAAAGGGCCCCAATATGGCACTACGATCGCCTAAGATGGCCCAACAATGCCCCAGCCGGTCTTCCTCTACCCCGCCACTGCTCAGCTGGCTTCCGCCACCCTTCGCCGAAGAAGAGACGTCAGCCCCTCGATCCCTTCGAGGTCGAGGTCTTTTCTGGAGCGCCGCATGTTGAGCAGACGAGCGCGAGGATCAAACACCAGCTGGCCCCCGAGGCTCTGGCAGCTGCCCAGACCGCCGCTTGGTATTATTGGCTTTGGCTGTCTTGTGATTCAGCTGCCGAAACACACTATGCGCCCTCTGTAAGCTACAGAGGGCGCGGGGCAGACATCAACCGCTCACGCGTGCCTTCGTACCAAGGCCCGCATGGGGGCCTCGTCCGCTCATGCGGGCCTTCACTTTCCAAGAGAAGACGAGGCTACAGACTGCAGCGTCGTCGTTGTCTGAAGGCCCGCAGATAGACAAAACACTCGAACCCTGCGGCTCAATGCGCTTGAGCGGGCACTCGTGCTCCAGCCCCCAAATCACCACCCGTTGAGATTAACATTGACGTTCGCACCCCTGACCCTGACCAGGGGGTGACAGGCGCTAACGAGGCACGACGAGGCAGAGGAACCACGCGAACAGCAGCTCTTCCTCCAAGCAAAAATGGCCCAAGGGTGGGAGCACGAGGCTCGCTGCGAAGCGGGGAGACAAGATGCCGTCAGGACTGCGAAACAGAAAACACATAAAAACAATGCCTGTCTCTACCCCTGGCCCGGCCAGTCTCCCTTCCCGCTGCTCCGCCAGAAGTTTGCCGAAAACCGTGGCCCCGCATGCCACTCGGGGGCGGTCGGGTCCCTCTGGAGCAGCCGTTCCACCCCCGATCCCTACTGCCAGCGCCTGTCAGCCCGCGCGGGCCCCAGGGTCCCTAAGGACCGAGCGCGAGCCCCACCAGGGGACCCTCAGAGCGCCTCTTCGAAGCCCCAGGGAACCAGGAGGGGCAGCCCGCGGCCCAGGGGGTGACAGGCGCTGGCGAAGCAAGACAAGGCGGAAGGACCACGCCAGCCAGAGCTTTTCCACGACCCCCTCTCTGGCTTATCCCTTGGAACTCAACAACTCAGGTTACATCGCATCAGTGGCCATCCAAGTCACTCACGGCGTTGAATATTTTGAAATGGGCTCCCGTGAATTCCATATCGGTCAGACCCTGCTGGCCCTCAATTTTAATAGTCTGGCTGTAGCCGTGTCGAAGCAGGGCCCTCGTTCGAGCGTGGCTGGCACATTGCGAAAACGTTTGACGAAAAAGGGACCTCCTCCTCGTCGCAGGCTGTGTGGTTTGAAACGGCATTGTTGGCAATGCTATGCCACGAGCAGCTGATCTTTGGCGCTGCGCTCTTGCGCTCGCCACGCAAATTTCACGCTGTGCACGCTGTGCTGCGTGCGCGCGCGTGTGCTGTGATGGCCCAACCACGCTTATGGTTGTCCGCAGGTAGGACCTGGGGCCCCTCTCTGTCGCGGCGCTCTTGCGCCGGCCCAGCAACGTTCGCGATGCGCCCGCTGTGCTGCATCGGGGGCGCGCGCGCCACCGACGTCCGCAATGTGCCCACTGTGCTTTTCTGGCGTTGCCCTCTTGCGCGCGCGCGAAACTCGCGACGTGCACGTCGCGCTGCATGCGCCCGCGCACTGCGGTCGGCTTCTTCCCAACACCAGGAATCCGCACTTCGCCAGCGCCGCTTCGCGCCTGCAGCTGGGGCCCGCTGCGCCGCTGACTTGAAAGAGTGCTGCTGCGACTGCCTGCTGCGCGACTGGCGCATGCCGCTTGCCGCCGACAGACCAGGGGCAAAACCCCAGGCCCAATCGCGTTGATGCGAGGCGCCGCCCTGCTCTGCGAGGCGGGTTGCCGCTGCGCCCTTCCGCCAATGCCGTGCTAGTGCACCGCAGGTTTGGACGCTGCTGCCTGAAAGCTGCGCAGAGCACGTGCGTAACATCTGCTTGAAAATGCGTCGCGGCGCCCACGAGGCCCGTTCGCCTCGTGGTGAACCACCCTAGTATGGCTTCTTGTAGCTGCAGCTGAAAATTTGCGCGTTTTACTAGCTGCCAGAGCGTGGCCCCCTCGGTTGCCCCGCGTCCACGGCGGGCGGCCAGTTGCGCCTGCCCTGCCCCGTCGCGCCGCGCGTCTGGCTTGTTTGCAGCCTCTACTGCGGCGGTCCACGCCGGCACTTTTTGCGGCAACACAGGTCTAGCTACGCTCAGCTGGAACAGCTGCGTCAATTCCGCGGCCTCGTGTTGTTTCGCGACCTCGCCCCTCGTGAAAATGGGCCGCTGCTGATTCGGATGGCGCGTGTCCGATCCAAATGTGGACATGTAGGGCGGGGGCAATCACCCAGATCGCCGCCGCGAGTTTGCGGCTGTCCTCGTCTCCCGCGGACCCGCTTAAGATGCTGAGTTGCCCCCCCGGACTTCTTCGAGGGCCCCTTCTCAGGTCCGCTGGCTTTGACAAGAGGAACATCGGCACTGCGAGCGGCCTGCGTGTTGCGCCGCTCATTGCCGCTGCAGGTCGCTGCAGGAACGAATGCGCGGCCTACTCTGCCGAAGGAGGCGCCGCTCGCCTCCAGCGCCGCGAGATGCCCCCCCCCCCCCCCGCGGCGCTGCGCCCGCCGCGGTCTGGAGGTCTGCCATCCACTCGGGGGTGAGACGAAGCCCAGGCCAGAGACTGGTGGCGGCGACCTCCGGGTGGCAGCTTCGCCAGAAGACAGTGGGTGAGCGTGCCGCAAAGCTGTCGTCGATCGCGGCGGTCTCCCGCCGATGGAAGCGGATGCCATTCTTGGCGCAGGCGACGCGATGGTGATGTGCTGGCGAATCGCGTCAATAATGACTTGCCATGGAAGCAGCACGAGCATCCCGCTGGCCTTCAGGAAGCCAGCGAAGCCCTCGTCAGGAGGGCGGCCGCGCCGTCGCGGCCTCGGCTCCGCGCTGCCGCCATCGCTGCTAAGATCCTGTAGGGCAGCGGCAACTCGAATCTCGGTCGCGCGCGGAGGGCCCCCCGCGATATGGGGGAATTCTCGCCATTCGCACGAAGTGCGGTTCTGCTAGCAAAATGTTGCCGGCCAGGCCCGAGCAAGCGCGCTGTATTTTAATGGATGTCCAGAGTCCTTGACTGATCCAAGGTTTGTGACAGCTGCCCAATCGTCACTCGTTGGTGTCGACGTGCCTCCTGGTCTTGCGCTGCCCTGGAATTTCACCGCCGGCCATTCGCGTCGCTGCCTGTTGCTGCCGCCGCCCCCCGTGAATGATTGTCTGCGGGTCGTGGCCAGTCTCTGTGTAGTCGCGCGCGGGGCGAGCGAGGGCAGCGAGGGCGCAGGCCCCAACGCGTCGAATAAAAAATAGGCAGCGCTGCAAAGTGCTGGGCGGCCGCGAACCACCCCTCCTGCGCCGGCTTGTGGCCCGATCAAACGGCGGGGGCGCGCGGGGGTGCTGGGGCTAGCGGGGCCCCCAACGAAGAGCGTCGCGCGTGGCCCTCTCCCACGCGGCCGTTGGTCTCCACCGCCACCTGCCCGTGCTTATCGGGCGATGCGGCCGGAGATCTGGGCGCGTCGCCTCGAAGGCGCTCGGCCGGATGTCGCGCCCCCTGGACTCCGCTCGCCCCGCGGGCTCTTCGACTATGGCCGCGCTGCGGTGCTCCGGCCTCGCCTCGAGGTCCCGCCGGCGGACGCGCGCCCCCTGCCCGTCGTCGACCCTGCTATTTCACGCGCTCGAGTTCTCGATGGTGGCGCCGCCTCCTGCGACCCTCGCCCTGCCCATGGAAGGCGCGCGCTCCAGGTGGCCCGCTTTCGCGGCCCCGTCCCCAGGAGTGCGCGCCCGCTGCTTTCCAAGCTGGCCTTCTCCAGCTCGCGAGCCCTCGTCGCGCCGCGCCCTGGCAGGTTGCCGCGCAGCAGCTGTCTCTCGATGTCGTCAGGAAGCAGACGGCGTGCATCGACCTCCTGGATGCAGTTGATGTGCTTGAACTGGCAGGGCGCGTGGCAGCACTCGAGATCCCGCAACTTTCGGATCTCCGACTCGGAGCGCCCCCGCATGTCGCGCTGGCGCTGGCAGGGAGCTCGACGGGGAATGCGCCGCAACGGCGTCGGCAGTCGAGAATATTCATCATGGTCGCCCTGCCGCTTGTGAGCCTTGCGCCGAGCCAGCGCGGGGTAGGCCCGGGCCCGCCTCGAATGGCCACGTGCTGCAATCCGTTTACCTACTCTGTCAGCCCCTGCTATTCGCATCAAGATGGGCGATCGCCCCCGCCTCGATCGGCGCGGGCGCGCGGCCGACGCGGTTCGTCATGAACTGCTTGGGGACCGGGCCCGCGGGCGCGACGTCCTCGGTCAGGCGCCCGAGCGACTGCCACTCAGCCAGCGCGTCGAGCTGCGCCCGTTTCGCGCGTCCAAGCTCGAAGAAGATGGGCGACCGACGACCTTCCAGCCCTGGGCGCCAGTCGTCGATCCGGAGGGGGGTCGCTGCGTGGGCTGCTGCCAATGGAGATGTTCCGTTTGGCGCGCGAGGCCCTCTTTATCTCGGCCGCGGCCTCGGCGCGACCGAAGGGCGATGCGTCGCCCGCTTCGAAGACCTCGGGCCAGGTGCACTTCCTCGCTCGCCTGGGCTCCGCGTTGGTCTCGGAGGAGCCGAGCGGCGCAGGCGTGGGCCCGGGCAGGTCCGAGGCCCGCCGCGCGACGCCGATCCCGTCACACAGCGCAATCGACAGCGCCTCGCCGTGGAAGTCCGTGACTGGCCTGTCTGGCAGCCCGCGCGGCGGCCGCCCCGTAGGGGCCGAGGCGCGCGGCCCCCCGTTGCGGGCTGCCGCCCGACGCCGCGACCGGACCACTGACGGGCGCCCTCGTGTCGCACTTCAGCAGCGAGAGCAGAACCGAGGCCGACAGGAATTCCTCGCGAACCGCAGGCGGCGCGGGCGCTCCTCCGCGCAGCAGCGCCACGCTTCGCCGCGCGGCCGCGCCGTGAACCGCCGCGCCGCAGCGACGCGCATCTTGGCGACGCAGCGACGCCAGACGCTGTGCGAAGATCGTTTGCGGCCCGATGGCGCCCAGCTCGCCGTCGATGGCCTCGCCGAGAAGCTGCGCCTTGAGCTCTCGCGGCGCCGCCTTCGCCTCGATCGTTCCGAGGCGCGCCGTGGGCCGACGGGCGAGCTCTGGCGTCCGCCGCGGGTGCGCGAAGCGCCCCCATCGTGGGCGGGCTCGCCCGCCGCTGACTAGCTGCCTACGGCGCGTCCAGGTTGTCGACGTAGACCTGCCGGGCCCTCCGAGTGGCGGGCCGTGCCTCCCGATGCGTATCTTCGCTGGAGCGTCCCATGGCGCCCCTGTGGCAAGTCTGGTCGTCGCGGCAATGCCGGATGAGGCGGGGGCCGCTCAGCGTGTCGAGCTCGCTCGGGTGCTGGGGCTACTCCTCCAGGGGGCGCTCGATGCCATTGACTGCCTCCTCCCGCGAGCTCATTTCGCGCGCTTGGAGTGGGTTGCCCTGGCGTGAGGTCGCCAGACCTGCTCGCGCAGGCCCGCCGCCGATGTAGATGTGGACCCTGCCCCCGGCGTCGCAGGTCGCTCCCGCGCGCCCTCGCGCCAGGCCCTCGCCCATCTATCGGGCGGGCCCCCTTCTGGGGGCGGCGGTGGGCGCGCCCTTGCAGATCTCCGCGCGCGCCGCCAATTGCCTCCGCCGCGGGCGCCGCGCGCGGACCGGTCGGCCATGGGCGTGCAGGGCCGCCCCCGTGGCCGAGATCCAGCCAATGGGCGCAGCCGTGCCCGCCGAGTAGACCGAGCCGCCGCCCGCCAAGCCTGCCGCCGAGCGAGCCGCTGGCTTCGAGATGGCCGCGTGCTTCCGGCGGCCGGCGCGGCCGAGCAAGCGTTGGAAGGGCACGGGGGCCTGGGTTGATTTGGCAGCCTTGGAATTTCCCTGGGGGGGTGCCTCCTCGCCGTCGCGGGATGTGGCCGCGTCGCGCAGCTCCTGGCTCCAGTCGGTCGCAGGGATCGGCCCCCCAGTGCTGCAGGCCAGAGGTCCTCGTCTCGTTGAACACTTCGCGCATCGCCCTCAACTGTGTTGCCGAAGCTCTCGTAACGAGGGCCTAGGGTCTAGCCCCCAGCGTCGGGTGTAGTGGTCATTCAGGCACCTGGTCATCGTGACCAGCCAACTGAGGTCGTCGCGGCTGGCTTCGTCGCCGTCCACGCTGGGGCGGCCTTCGCGGCTCAGGGCGGCGGGCGTCAGACTCGCGGCGGCCGGCAGCGGCGCAATGTCGCGCCGTTCTGTCCGACCGTGCTCTGGCGGTAGCAACTTCTCTTCAATCAGTGCTTGCGAATGAGATGCAGCTTGCAGTAGATATGGCGGTCTGTCATCCTCGTTCAGCTCGTGACGTATTACGCGCAATAGCCAGCCTCCTAGGTCCTCCAACGTGGCGCATGCAGATGACAGTATCAAGGGTGGTGGCGAATTCCCGGAGCCAGCCTTTGCGCCAGGCTCGAGCAGGCCAGGGGCGTCGGCGCCGATGAACTCGGTCATGGTAGCCTTGCCCTTGGTTTCTCCAACTCGATCCGGGTCCTTGTCTTTTAAGGGCGGCTCGGATCTCTGTTGTTGCCCTTCTTCTCTCTGCCCCCGCCCTCGGAGGACTTGGACTTGGCGTGCTTCGCCTTGCCCACCCCGCGGGCGCCTTGGACTTGACCTTCTCCCCACTGACGCGTTTGCCTTTGGGGTCTGCTGTCGCGCCGCCGCTCCCGGCGCGACGGCTGGGGCGCCTCAGGGGGACGTGTCGTCCGCGAAATGCGCTCTGCTCGCCGTCGGCGATCGTCGCTCGCAGGAGCCCTACCCCGCCCCAGTCGGCGGCGACCCCAAGGGAAAGGCCTTGTGGGGAGGCGGAAAGGACTTCTCAGAAACCCATCGGTTGATGGACAAAATCCGGCACACTTTTTCAGATTTTTGTTTTCGCCCGCCGCGCCCCCAATTTAATATTGGCAGGCTGTGGTGCGATTTGTCGATCTGCAGACTGGCCTAAATCCTGCACCCTGTGGGCGCAGCCAATCAACGTTCAATCGGGGGCAGATGGGGGCGCGTGGAAGCTTGCGCCGTCGCCCCGATTGCGCGCCTGGTGCAGGATTTTGTCCATCAACCGTTGCGCCCGCCAGAGAAGAGAAACCCTGCGGGCCTCCGCCAAATGCAGGGGCGGCTTTTCTCAGAACGCTCGGGGGCCTCACGGAAGCTCTCGCGCCCTCGGAGAAGCCTCGGGGCCTTCTCCGGAGGCGTCGTGCACGGTCGGACCTGGGACAGAACCCCCCCCCTCAAGAACATGAGACCTTCCGTTGGCCCAAAGTGAAGAACATTCGAAGGTACCCCCCCCAGAATGCACAAGAGCATCCAACGAACACGAAAAACACTAAAATACTCCCCGAACCGACCTCGATGTGATACCTCGGCCCGACCGTACGCCGCGCCCTCCTGCCTTGGCCCGGAGGGCGTACACACAGCTCCTGGGCCCAGGAAGGGCCCAGCCAGGGGGCAGCGGATATGCATAGATTTCGTCGCCCGATAGGTGGCGACATCCGAGCCCTACCTCCCCACGCGGCGGTGAGCCCAGGGGGGAAGTGAGAGGGGGGCAGACCTTCTCAGAAGGCGGCGGAGCTTCTCAGAAGCCCTCGAGCCTTCTGTGAAGCCGTCACTGCCTTGGGGGAAGGCTCGGGGGGCTTCTCAGGGGGCGTGGGATGTTTTGGGAGCTGGAGCCAGCGACCTGCATGCCGCGCGGGCTGCGGTGTCGGAGCCGGCCGTCTTCGGAGTCTGGCGAGGGCTTCTGAAAAGCCCCTCCGCCTTCTGAGAAGGCCTGCCGCCTCTCACTTCCCCCCTGGGCCTGCCGCTGGACGATAACTGGGCGGCGGGTGCGGGCTCGGGCGGGTTGCTGGAGCCGACGTGGGCTTCAGCCGAAATGGCGATGGAGGGGCCTCTCGGACCATGTGGGGGCCCTCTTGAGGCTGGTGGGCAAATCTGAGGCCTTCAAAAGAGCCCATCGGGAGCGAAAAGGAAAGAAGGCACACATAATCGAACAACCAATGGTGGCCGCACGATTTGGGCCTCTCAGGCGGGTGCACGGGGGGTCCGGTGGTGCTTGGAGCGATGCGTGGGCCGTCCTGGGGCATCTTGGAGCTCGCCTTTGGCAGATTTGGCCGTCTTCGCGGTCTCCTGGCGCCGTCCTGGCGCCCGAGGCCGAAATAACAATCCTCCCAGGCCTCCGCAGACGAGTCCCAGACAGCGGGGCCCCATTGGGCGGAGGCGGGTGCCCCAGGGGGGGGGGGGGGCGAGTTCCAGACGCCGCCTGTGTTGAAAACGAGGGGCCGAGGAGCGAATCTGAGCATACTGTATGAGACACTGGGGATTCAAAATCGGTCCCGGGAGCCCTCCCGGGGGCAAAACGCACCAGTCTTCCGCGCCGCGCCCAGCCGCGGCGACGAGGGGGCCCCCCCAGGGGTCCACCACTTGCCAGCGTCTCAAGCGGCCCCCCGCGGAGCGAAGGGCGGGCCGCGAGCCACCCGGCGCACGCTGCAAGGCCACTCCGCATGCGGGGGCCACGGAGCCACGGGGCACGCGCGTCATGACCGCCGAGCGTACGTGGGACGTTACCTCGCACGCGATAGCCACGAAACCCCCTCCCCCTCCCCCTCCTCCTCCTCCTCCTCCTCCTCCTCCTCCTCCTCCTCCTTCCCACGGCAACCGAACGCAGTAACTGCAAGAGATGCCCGGAGAGCGCGCTGGAGTCCACGACACAGCGACGCGCACCTCTTCGCGAGATGCACCACAAACTGAGGGGCTGGCGGATGTGGCGCCAGCGTGGAGAATGATGAGCTGCCCGATGTTTTCACCCATGCGCCCTAGCTGTACTTGTTCGGGCTGCCAAGCTCAGTCGTGGGTAGGGGGCGAATCCAGAGGCCTCGAGGGGCTGGGGCATCAGGCGCCGGGGTCGTCGATGAGCACCAAGGCAGCGCCGTCTCTGAAACACTCTCCGAAAGTGGCCTCCATGGCCTCGTCCGTCAAGCCACCAAGCCGCCTGCCGTCGACCTCAGCGATCACGTCGCCCGCGGCGAAGGCCTGGCCGGGAAAATCCTCCACATAGTCCACGCGGTAACCCGCTGCAACGGGCGCTATGTCGATGCCAGCACCGTGCTGCGCATCCACCCGCAGGTAGGCATATCTGCGCTCGGGCACGGCTCCACGCACTGGCGCCGACGCCCTGGACTCCTCCCTGGGCAGCACCTGCGAGGGGAAGTGGTAGTCCAGCAGGCCCTGCAGCTCTCGCTGTGCGTCCTGCATCACTGCCTCGGGGTCGCGCTGCCAGCCCGCGGGCCTCAGCGCGATGGCCTCGCCACCCCGCAGCTCGGCCGAGACGCCGAACTTCAGGGCAAAGGTCTGCAGGTCACTCTGCAGGGTGGCCTCGGCATCGCGCTCTGCTCGCAGGCGCGCGGCCGCCCCAGGGGGCAGCGGCACCACGAGCAGGCCGCAGCGCGCGCTGGCGCCGGGGGGGGCCACGGCTGCTGCCGGAGCGCCCTCGCCCCAGGCGCGGCCCCGAGCGCCGCCGCCGGGCCCTGGCCCGGAGTCCCAGGCGGCGGGCGCCGCCCGACCTTCGCCCCAGCCGCCGCCGCGCCCGGTGCCCTCCGCGCCTGGCGCGTGGGCGGGCGCGGGGGCGCCACGCCGGCCGTGGTCCGCCGGGCCTCCGGCCGCCCGGCCGCCGCCGCCCGCGCCGCCGCTGCGGCCCGCGCCCTTCGCGGGGTAGCCGCCGCTCAGGCCTGGGCTCGCAGAGTCCTGGGCCGCGGCCCCGCGCGGCGCCGCGGCCGGCTGCGCGGCCGGGTTCTCGGGGCGGAGCCGCAGGGATGCGGCCTCCTTAGGCAGGCGCGTTCCACTGCTCGCAAAGTAGCTGCTCGCAGACGGCCTGGATCCACCGCGGGGGATGCACGATACATGATTTGCATTGAAGCAGCCATGCGTTTTTCGGACGGTAGCGAGTAGGCCTTTTGCGAGTCGTGGAACGCGCTCGGTGACTCCTGGCGCATCGCGGGTAAGATCTCCGCCGCCCTGTCGCTGAAGTCGGGCGCCGCCTTCACCTCCGCAGATGCCGCTGGGTTGGCGCCGCCAGGTGGCATCTCCGCCATCGCGGCGCGCACGGCGTCGGCCGCCTCTCGGCCGCGGAAGGCGACCAGCACGGAGTTGCACGCGTTGACCTGCCTGAGCTTGAAGTCGACTCCCTCTTGCATGGACCACCTCTCGGCGAACAGGTGGTTCAGCGAGACGGAGGCCTGGAAGAACGCGCGGCGGTCCAGAGCGGCGTAGTGGAACTCGAGCAGCGTCGAGTCTCCCTCTGCCGCCTCCCTGCGCTGCTGCCGGCCGGTCAGGTAGGCCTCCGCCGCCTCCGAGTCGCCTGCGGTGAGCACGTCCTCGCCGAGCAGGGCGCGCACGGCATCCTCGTCCCCAGTGCCCATGGCAAGCCGAAGCTCCTCCGCAGACTGCGCCTGCCGCCGCCGCTCCTCCTCCTCCTCGGCAGCCCTGCGCTGGCGGTCCGCGCGGGTGGCCTCACGCAGCCGGCGCTCCTCCTGCGGTCCTTTGAGGGAGCGCTCCGCCGAGGTGTCCGCCACCGTGCCCCGAGGCTCGAGTTGGAGTGTCCTCGGGTCCCTCGAACTCTCCGCCCCCGGTCCCGAGGAGTGAACATTTCCCAGTCGTCCTGTGGTGTTGGGTCCTCGTTTTGAAGAGACAGCGCCCCGCGTTCCTCTCCTCTCCTCCTCCTCCTCCTCCTCCTCCTCCTCCTCCTCCTCCTCCTCTCCTCCTCCTCCTCCTCCTGAGGGTTTAATCTCTCGGAGCGCCGGTCCTAACTTCTCAGGTTTGTGGGGGCGCGGCGCGTGCCCTGGCGCGCTGCCGCGTGTGAGGACGGCCCCAAGGCGGCCCAGGAAGGCTCCGAAGGCCGTCCGAGAGCGCCCCGAGCCGCCCGCCGTCGCTCGAGGGCGCGCAAGAGGGCCTCCACGCGGGCCTGAGAGGGGGTCCCCTATAGGACGCCCCAAGAGGGCTCGAGGGACCCCCAAGAGGGCACCGAGAGAGGCCAACATCCTTGATTTTCAAGCGGTTCCTGGCAGATTTTAGCTTCTCGCCTTTTCGGGCTTCCGACGCCCCAAGACGCCCCAGGAGACTTCCGATGTAAGGTGCCCCCACGAGGACCCCCAGACGGCCCAAGAGGGGCCTGAGACGGACCCAAGAGGCACCCAAACAGGGCGAAGAGGGGCTCAAGAGGGGCCCACGGGGGAGAGCACGATCTGACATTTCGAGCCCTCCGGCCCAAGATGACCCCCGAGACCGCCAGCAGGCCCCGAACAGTCCCCAGGAGCCCCAGGTGGCCCACAAGAGGCCCCAAGAGGCCCCAAGAGGCCCCTCAAAAAGGCCCGAATGCACCCCACAACTGTCTCCAATAGGCCTCCAAGGATGTCTCGACGGGTATCCAAGAGCCCTCTCACCTGCAACCCTGGTGCGGTGGCGGGATG